TCCCCCCGCGCCTGGACAGCGTTGGCTTCTCCGCCCGCCCCGCGGCGCCCGCGGCGCCTCTTCTCCGCCGGCTTCCGGAGCGTCACCCCGAGGCAGGGACACCCCCTTTCCAACGCTGGGTGAGTCGGCTCTTGAGCCCCGACCCCGCCTTATATCCCCCCGGGCGGCCCCGCCCACAAGTCTGATTGGCCCATGTTCAATCCTGCGTCTGATTGGTCCATTCAGCTCCCATCACGGCTCATAGCTCACACCTGATTGGTCCGTCCAGGATCAGGAAGTGCATAAAGGGCGTCCTGGGCTCTGCGGCGCCTTGGCCGGACCCGCCCGCACCCGGCTCGGCGCCTGGACGCGCCTCCGGGGTCCGCTGCCCGGACGGCCTCCCTCCTCGGTGAGTGTCCATGGCCCGGCCTCCCTCCCCGGTGAGTGTCCACGGCCCGGCCTCCCTCCCCGGTGAGTGTCCGCGGCCCGGCCTCCCTCTCCCATGAGTGTCCACGGCCCCGCCCTGGCCTGCGCCCCGGGTGGGTGACCAGGGCCCAGAACCCGACTACGCGGCCGGGCCCGGGCTGGCCGCCCCACGCCTCTCAGGTCCGTCTCTGGCCGCACCAGAGCCACCGCATGTCCTCCGCTTGGGCCATCCGGGCCTGACCCCGCAGTGGTCACCCGGCGGGCGGCAGCTCTGCCCCCTGGTCGCAGAGGCGGAGGCGGATGGGGAGACGCGCAGGAGAGGGGGGCCCTGGGCTCCCCCGCCCGGCGTGTCCGAGGCCATCGCCCGCGGGCGGACATGGGCAGCGCGTGTGGCGTCCCGTCTGCCCTGGCGGGCCAGCAGCGGAGTGACCACCCGGCAGCGAGAGGGCCCCGGAGTCCCAGGCGGTGCCGGGCCTGCCTGAGGCGCCCCCGGGAACCCCCCTCCATGGCGCGTGTCCAGCTGGTTACTGCGGTCATGGCGTGAGGTCCAGCGCAGGCCCGCGGGCCGGGAGGACACACAGGACAAGTCCCAGAACCTCCCCTGCATGTTCGCCTTTGACTGAAATGTGGATATTTGTGCCCAAAGGGCTCTGCGAGGTGGACCCGGCCCCCAGGGCCGCGCGGGGTGGGGGGTCAGGAGGCGGCGCTTGGAGCCTGGGGCTGGGCGAGGCCGGGGTGAGGGACACGCGCTGCCCAGCGAATGATGTCATATCCCAAAGGGGCAGGCGACTGTGATCTCATATTATCATTGAAATGATTATTACTTTGACTCATTTTATTTCTCAGTTTCTTTTTTTTAAAGATTTATTTATTTATGCATACAAGGGCTGGGGTACAGGCCAGAGGTGTGGAGGGTGAGAGGACCCACCAGAGACAGAGTGGGGAGCAGAACAGGCAGACGGACTGAAACCCACTGCTGAGGGGAGCAGCGGGGAGACTGGAGGGGTCTGCGGCGCCATGTGGGTGGCTCCCTGGCCGGGGATGGAACTCGTGCTGCATGGCTGCAGGCAGCTTCCTAGCGCTGCGCGTAACTCCTGCACCACCAGGGAGGCCCCTAATTTGAGTGATTTTCTAGCTCATGTTTTATTCTGAGATTTGAATGGACAGTCAGGTCTCGTGGTTAACTGCATGTATTATCATAAGAAACATTTTCATGGACAAATATGTGATAATCAGTCAGGAGAGTTTGGAGACACAGTGACCTGCTCCCGGAGAAAGTGCACCACCCAGCCCACGTTCTCAGTGTTAGGGAAACGATATGGGAACCTCCGTACGTGCAGGGAGATGTGTAGGGGATATGGGAACCTCCTTACGTGCAGGGAGATGAACAAATATTGCCAGGCTTTATTTTGCATAATGTTTTACATAATAAAGAAAACCTAGTTCCCAAAGTAGAAGAAAAATGAACTTTAGTTTAAGCTACGTGAAGGTGGAGAGGAAGACCTGGTATAGAATCAAGATACAATCTGGGAAACTAAGGAACCTAAAAATAAACACAACAAATTAAAAATTATAAATATTTAAGTAGAAACATAGTTCTTCAAAGATCATTCATAGAACTACTTTTGAAAACACCACACCGAGGGGTGCAGTCACGTTGGCATCCAAAAGGCATCACAGAAATTAACATTCCATCCCTTCCAGGTTTCACTCATAGATTCCTACTAACCAAGGGAGCGTCCATCCTTCCACCTCTGGCAGAGTCAGGTGGGGTTTCCCTTTGTCCTTTGAGCAGGAACAGGAACTTCTCCTAGAGGAGGAAGACGCCCTGTGAGGAATCGTGAGGGACGGGGGTGGGGGGCTCACTCTCTGTCTCCCCTCCCCTGCACAAGGACGGGACCCTCAGTGGAGAGACACAAAAGCTGTGGGTACCGAGTGCCCAGGCCTGGGGCCCCTTGAACATGTGCTCCTAGGACAGTCCACATTTACCACTGCTTCATTTTATGTTAAGTTGGTGATGCGTGAGTTTATTCTTTCTACACAAAATACAAGGGGCCCTCAGTGGAAAAACACAGGCTGAGGGAACCGAGCATCCAGTATTGTGGTCCCATGACCATGTGCTCCCGAGACAGACCTCCTTTACCACTGCTTCGCTTCACATAAATGTTGGTGATGTGTGAGTTCTAGAACATTTTTCTAAGCCACATGCACTCTTTTCAACCATGAGTGGGAATTCAGTTTATGAACATCACACAGCTGGAGTTTTGGCAACTGAAAGCAGTATTTAGGAAACTAGAGCTTATGGAAGAATATGAGAATATAAAATTCTGGAAAAGGAAAAATCCTAATGCAAGAAATCTGTACTTTATAAATGATAACATGAAGAGTTAGAGGGAAAAACTGAATAAATCGGGGGTTATAATTTGAGATTGGGATATCTTACATCTTACAGTACTGGCCCTTCATCAGTCTCCCCACAGCCGAATTCATGGCTTGGTTCCTCAGACTGTAGATGACGGGATTAAAGGTGGGGGGCACCATCGTGTAGAACATAGAAATGACCAGGTCAGACATGGACGGGGTCCCTGAGGTCGGCTTCAGATAAGCAAAGAATCCAGTGGAGAGAAACAGGGCCACAACTAGCAGGTGGGGAAGGCAGGTGGAGTAGGCTTTGGCCTTCCCTTCTGTGGATGGGATCTTCCTGACAGCAGAGAAGATGTGGACGTAGGAAATGACGATGAACATAAAGCAGCACAAATCCAATGTCACATTAATGAGAATGGAGACAAGTTCGCTCATTAGATTTCCTGAGCAGGAAATAGCCAATAACTGGGGGATGTCACAGAAGAACTGGTGGACCACGTTGGACCCACAGTAGGACAAGGAGAAGGTTCCAGCTGTGTGCATCACAGCATAGAGACCCCCACCCAGCCAGGACACAGCTGTCAGCTGCACACACCTGTCCCTGCTCATGAGGACCTCATAGTGCAGGGGGTGGCAGATGGCAGCGTAGCGGTCAAGGCTCATCACCGTGAGCAGGGTCATCTCTGCACCTGCTGACATAACCAACGTGAAGACCTGGAGGACACAGCCCTGGAAGGAGATGGAGCTGCTGTGCCTCAGAGAGTTGGCAATGGACTTGGGGACCGTGGCTGAGATGAAGCAGAGGTCCGTGAGGGACAGACTCCTCAGGAAGAAGTACATGGGGGTGTGGAGGTGCCGGTCCAGGGTGGTGATGAGGACGATGAGCCCGTTCCCCAGCAGGGCGCACAGGTAGACCAGGGAGAAGAGCAGTGGGTGCAGGAAGCCCATGGTCCCCTGGGTGGGGAACCCCAGGAGGACAAATTCTGTCATGGCTGTGAGATTCGTCACCCCTGGGGCTGTCATCTGTATAAAAATTTGAGCAGAATATAACATGAGTGAAGCCTTCCAGTCTGAGTGTAGATGACACCTACAAGGACAGTCACAGGTGTGCCCCAGAGGTCACTCTCCGGGTGTGGAGGGGAGGAGATCCGTGTCTCTCGCTCTCTGTTGAGCCTTCTGTGTTCAGCTCCAGATACGCGCCTTTATCACACAGGATCTGGGATCAGGAAGGAGGGACATTTCAGCTGATCATAGGATTCTGCTCTGGTTGATCCATAGCCAGACTAACAGCCCCTCCCCACCGCCCCAGCCCCGCTGCTTCCCCCTCCATGTGCAGGTCTGTTCATCCCACCAGGCCCGTGCGTGGGGACGTCTGGACACGGAGCAGCCCTGTCCACTCTCCTCCTCCCCCATCTCCTCCTCTCCTCCCCCTATGGGGGTGATGGAACAGGATTTTTAGGAAAATGTAGTGAAATATAACTATTGTAAGATAAAAGAAACAATTCCAGCTAATTTAATGAAAACAAGAAAAAATAAACTCAAAAAATGTAGCCGAGGACAAAACTTTTTCAGTGATTTAGAATACATATTTATTTACATTGACAAAATTAGGAGAAAAAGTCGTGACTTTCTGTCTGACTCCCTTTCTTGTCATAATACTTTAGGGATGAGGATGTGTACCTTCCCTTTTTAAACAATTAGCATTATTTTAAATTTCCTTTCAGATTTTCTCCACTGCCCTCTAAATACTTCCATTAAATGTGATTTCATGTAACATTATATACTTTCAACTCAGAGTGCTAAATATTAAAAATTAGTTACAAAACAATAATTGCCCTATATACCCTAGGTCAGAATATTATAAAATAATAAATGCACGAAAGAGCATATTCTGTGGAACACCGTAAAATAAAATTATCCCAGAACAACATGGCCTTCTGAAACTGAACCATAATCCACCTTTATAATTTATTAGTTTTCAGTTATAAGATGACTATTTTCACTACTGTTCTGAAATACAAAATGCTTTTGGAAATGATACTGTGTTGTAAACAATGTTACCTCAATAAAGAAAAAACAAAGTCACCATTGGAAATACAAGCAGTAGCACAAATAATTCATGTTGAAATGCCAACACTTGGACGTATGGGTTAAATGAAGTATGTCAATAAATTATAATTTACGATTTAAAAAACTTACTTTTTTAAAAAATTATTTGACAGACACCTCAGTCTGGCGTGACGCACCTGCTGTCTCAGAAGTTGCTTCCCACAAAACTCGCCCTCACAGAGACAGGAGGAAAAGTAAACCTCACTTGATGGCCCGGTCACCCGCTGCCCTCTGCTGTGCTGACCTCTGACATCCGGGTCCAGGCTTCCCGCTCACTGACTCCGCAGACAGGCCGCAGGGCTCGCTATCTCCATCTCTCGCTGCCCCCCAGGCCCTGACACCGTCCCCAGCTCCCCTTCCTCAGGGACCTCACCCCGAGAGGACCAGGTGTCCCATGTCCCCGTGGACTTCTTAATGTTGTCCCCAGTAATGAACCTCCTGAGTCATCAGTGCAGTCAGGGGGTCTCAGGAGACTCTGTGAGCAGGTGCGTGGTTCCTCCTCCTCAGGCTCCATCTGCCTCCACTGACCAACCACAGGGGACCCGGGTGTGGCCCCGTCGTCAGAGCCACGGATGAACCACGGCCACAGGGAGCTGCAAAGTCGCTGTCACTCCCTGTGAAGCCCTTCCTGGGGAGGCCTGCAGAGATGGTTGTGAAGAGGTTGAGGCAAGAGGAAGGGAAATGAATAAAGTAGGATGGAACTAAAGGAGGAAGGAAAGAGGGAAGGAAGACAGAGAATTTCAACAGAATTGAACAAAGAAAACTGGATCTGCTGAAGTGGGAATGGTTCACGTCATCACAAATTTACTCTGTGTGCTTTTGTTTATTTTTTTGCAGGTCCATTCTCAGCACTACCAGTCTTGTCTGAAGCTGAATCGCTACTGCTAGTGAGAGTGTGTCTCCTATATCTTCCCAAGGAGAGGGGCCTTTGCAGTTGGAGTGGTTCTGGTGGATGGTTCTTCATGGTTTGAGATTCCTGGGGTTTGATGTCATGACTGTTGTGTCTTCAAATGCGCAGTAAGAGGCCTTTTGTGGGTGTTAAATGCTTTGGGAAATGAATAATTTATCAAGTAGAGTATGCCACAGTATTGACTAGATTGGGGGGTGTGGTGTCTGTGATGATCTTCGCATCCTGCCCACACTTAGAGGGGAACAGCAGTAATCGACCTTCATTGGACCTGATCCATGATAGTGCGTGTGGCAGAGAGTGGAAAGGCTGGGCTGAGACTCTTCCTAGCAATGTCCTTGACCCTTTCCAGGTCATTTAAATAAATATCTCAATGATTTTGCAGTGACTAGAAGAGTTACTGCTACTATATTCTGTAGTTGTGCACAAATATTAAAATGGCTTCTCCAATAACATTAGAAATGAACACATTACCCATTCATCACTGAAAGGCTAATTTATCTTCAAACACAGGCTCTGGGAACCTTGTTTAGGGCCACATTTTGCAGCCGCCCCAGGCTGTGCAGGTCATGGTCAGTTCTCTCACATGAAAAGATAATTTTGTGGCCTTGGTAGACTTTTCAGGTCTTTAACACTGACTCAGGGGACAGATCAGCTCTCTTCCTCAGCATTTCTCTGGCATCTCCCGCCCTCTGGATCTCAGAGTGACGCTGCCCTTATACCGCCTCATCCCTTGGTTTACATATGCACATGCCCCGTGTTCTCTGGGCCCAGGTGTCCACACTCACTCACTCATGTACATGTACATGTACAAGACTTTGGGTGACAGCCAAAGAGGCTTATGGCAGGAGGGGGCAAAAGGCCTGACTTTTACCTCATATACCCTACAATCCACCCCTTCAGGATTTTTCACTGCTCCCTAGTGCCTGGCACAGCCACCCTGTGGCCCTGGGAGTGCCGGGCAGCAGATAAGGTTGCTTTAAGCCACCAAGGCTGACAGGCCCATCCTTTGATCTTCATCTCCTGTGGCGGGCAAATGATTCTGTCCACCCCCAGGTCCCAAAGTTCTCCGCCTTCTGGCAGGATTGTTTGTGCAAGTCAGTCAGTGTCATCTTTGTCACTGGGTAAGCTCTGAATAATGGATGGGGTCCTACTTTTTTCCTGACGAGTCTGCTGCCTCAGGGGTATAGTGGGCTGGGCCTTGCAGGGCTGTCTTCTCTTCCCCATGAGGTCCGAGGTGTTCCCAGTGCTTGTCCTCCATCTCCCAGACCTTGTCTGCCTCCTGTGCTCCTGCAGCATCTTTAGCTCTTCTTGGACTTTGGCAACCATCTGTGGTTCCCAGCGACTCTGATGTTGTCTTTGACTCCATTTGTAGATGCCATGTGGTATGTCTGCTCTCAGAGTCATATCCTGCCGACAACATCAATTGTTTTTCAACCATCCAAAGACAGGTAGGTTCACTGTCATCTCTCAAGGACAAAAAGATAATTTTGGAGCCTTCAGTATATATTTCCATGTAGATATTTAGAGCTTTCATGCTGTATTGGAACAGACCAGCTCTCTCCCTCAGCTTTCTGGGACTGTCTGCCCTCCCTCTGGATCTCAGATGACCCAACCGCTATATCCCCTCATCACTTGGCACAGGGGTCCCCATTAACATATGTGCATGCTCCATGATCTCTGGGCCCAGGAGTCCACAATCATAGGCACATGTGCAAGACCTCAGGAGTTAGTCATAGTGGCTAATGGCAGTAGGGCTGAAAAAGTGATTTTTTTTAACCCATTTACCCAGCAGTCCACTCCTTCAGGTCTTTTTTTTTTTTTTTCTCCATACAGTCTACACAGCATTATTCAGCAAGAAGTGGCAGATGTACTTTCCATTTCAGTGTGCTACAGAGTCTGTGGGACCTGGTCTGGCTCAGAGCTCACTGGAATCGTGACCTGGGATGACCTTCCCAACTTGGGGGCCAGAGCTTCCCACTTCAGCTTCTGTCTGCGTCGGTCCCTGAGAAGAAGCCATCCTGCCAGGTTCAGGAGCCCACATCCCCCCAGGAGGTCTTCCCCCAAGCCCTCAGACTGGAGCACAGACCCAGCTATTCCACACTGTGCTGGGTGGGCTCCTGGTGCAGGGAGAGGTGACCTCCCTGGACACTCTGGGGAGCCTGAGATCCTCCTGGGAGAGGACACCCCCTTTCCTTCTGCTCAGTGAGGGGGTGGGTGTGGATAAGCAGGGCCCAGAGCCAGGATTAGTGCCTCCTTGGGCCGGGTGTCCTTTTAGAGTTCCACACAGGGAAAAGGTTATGGGGGTTCTGGGGAATGACTGGGGCTGCTGCTCACTGGGGTCTTGGTGGAACCTGTGTCATCACTGAAAATATCATGGTCATACATTAGTAAAAAGTATAATTACTCATTTCTGTTCAACTTGGATGAGAAAGAGGGTTTTTTTAATATTTAGGAACACATTTCCCATATTTAAGTCTTCTTAGACAACAAACTCGAGAATGTGGACTCCAGTGTACATGTACAATCTGTGAAGATAAAAAGAAAATATTGTAAAAGTATGTATTAAATATGAAGAATTAAAACATCATAATTTGCAGCACTCAAAAATCACAAGGAAACAGTGTGACAGAACTAATCCATCATTATTAGTTTATATTAAATAATTATAAAATTATGAACTAGACGACAGCTATTCCATGTAGGAGGTGTTAATCTCTGGGGATTTAACAAAACACATTCGAGGTCAGCCAGTGTCAGGACATGCAGGCAAAGTTCAGGAGCAGGCATGGTTTAGAACCCCAATAACATCTGCCGACGACCTGCAGGGCAACTGGGTGTCCTCCTTGGAAATGTTTGTGTTGGTTTCTTGCCCATTTCTTGATTGGGGTGTCTGCTTTCTGTTGTTGGGCTGTGACATACCTTGTATGAATGGAAACCAGGCCCAAGTCAGATGTATGATGTGCGCATATTTTCTCCCAGTGCAGGGGCCTGTTTTTATAGTGGTTTTTGAACTCTCTAGTGTAGTGGGGAGCATTTGTTCCTACGTGCTTGTTTCCCTTGTCCTTGGGGATCTTGGGCTTGTGTCCCCAAGTTCATCTGTGGGGTGGATGTGCAGTAGAGTGGCATAGTTCCTCAAGTATTTATGACTTTCTCACATCCAAACCTTTAATCCAAATAATATTGTTCAGTAGCTATAATTATAAGGGGAACCCAACTTAAAACTGCAATGACTTGTCACCCACCCCTATGAGAATGGGCCAATCAAAAAGACTGAACACAACTGATGTTGTGTGGATGTGGAGAGAAAGGAACTCTCACCTCTGTTGGTGGGAATGTAAGTAGGTAAATCCTCTAGGAAAATGGTTTGGAGATGTCCTAAGTAAATAAAAATGGAAATCCCATAGGAACTAGCAATCCCTTTGCTAAGTTTTTATCCCAGAATGTGAAAATTCTACAATACAGAGACTCATGTGACCGGTGTCACAACAGCACCGTGCACCATTGCGGAACCAGCCCAAGGGCTTTCAACAGAGGAGTGAATAAGGTAATTGTGGGTCCATAGTCAGTGGAATTGTACACAGCGATTGAAAAATCAAATCATACATTTGGGACAAGGTGAGTGGACCTTAAAGTTATCTTGTTAAGTGAAATAAACCAGATAGTGAAAGACAGATAGCAGAGGGTCTCACTCATCTGTGGGATAGAAAATACAGAAAACCGGGCCTCCCTCGTGGCCCAAGGGGTTAAGATGCAACCTATGAAGCTAGCCACAGCCACTGCAGCACGAGTTCGAGTCCTGACCAGGGAGCTACCCACGGGCACAGCAGACCTCTCCTGCCTCACCCGCTGCTCTCCTCATCAGTGTATTTAGTCAATCCACCCTTTTTTTTTTTTTTAAAGAGGCATGTATTTATTTATTTTTTTAATTTTATTTTTATTTTATTTTTATTTTTTTTATTTATACAACCACCAGGTACAGTCAGAAGCGCGGGAGGGTGAGAGAATTCACCAGAGCCAGAGCGGGGAGCAGAGCAGGCAGAAGGACCGAAGGACACTGCTGAGGGGAGCAGCGGGCGGCAGGAGAGGTCTGCGCGCCATGTGGGATCCTCCTCCGGTGGCCGAGGAGCAGCCAGGGATCGAACCGGGGCCACAGAGGCTGCGGGCAGCTTCGCAACCCAGCGCTCAACCGCTGCGCCACCGGGGAGGCCCCTCAATACACCTATTCTGTTATCCACTCTGTCTCTGGTGAATCTTCTCACCCCTCACAACTCTGGCCTATGCCCCAGTTTTTATATGCATAAATAAATTAATCTTTTAAAAAAAGAAAATACAGAAAACTGACTTTACAAAATACAGAAAACCAATTTGCACTAGTGAATAAGTTCACTGTTACCAGGCAAGACTGGGGAAAGGAGAGGGATAAGGAGTGGAAGCAGGTGGGTATTCATGTGGGTGTTCCTCAGAGTGTGAGGGGAGATGCGCACACACACACAAAGGGGAAAAGCTGGATCCCACAATAAGATATCAAAGATGTGACAAAGAGACTGATAAAGCCCCAGGAAGGAGAAACTTAAGATCAAGGTCTTTCATTGGAAAGATTATTAACTTGAGAGATTTTCCAACACAGATTTTATTCTGAAATCTGAATGGAGTCCATCTGGTGGTTAACATACGTTTTTCAAAAAAAAATTTTTCTGGACGGAGTATGTTATGATCCCTCAGGAGCGTTTGGAGACACAGTGACCTGCTCCAGAGAAAACGCTTGAGCAAGGAGCATCACCCCCAGTTCTCAGGGTGGGTAAATAGACATGAGGCCCCAGGGTTTATAGCACAGAAGCTTCTGGAGAATAAAAAAAACATAAATATTGCAGTGTTTTACTTTATATAAAGTTTTACATAGTGAACTTAAGGGGGGAGTGTGCAATTGTATGGGGAATATAACCAAAATGATAATGCATACATTGTGCAAAAATAAAAAATGATGTAAGAATTGTATAAAATAAAATATCAATTTAAAAAAAGGGCCTCTCCGGTGGCACAGTGGTTGAGCGCTGGGTTGTGAAGCTGCCCGCAGCCTCTGCAGTGCCGGTTCGATCCCTGGCGGCCGGGTGACGGTCCCACATGGCGCGCAGACCTCTCCTGCCGCCCGCTGCTCCCCTCAGCAGTGTACTTCGGTCCTTCTGCCTGCTCTGCTCCCCGCTCTGACTCTGGTGAATCCTCTACCCTCCCGCGCTTCTGACTGTACCCCAGGGCTTGTGTAAATAAATAAATAAATCTTTAGAAAAAATAAAATAAATAAAAAGAAAAATAGTGAACTTAAGTGTTATCTAAAAGAATGTCAAGAAGAACTCGTAGAGGAATCAAGGTACAATTTGGAAAACTAAGGTAACTGAATATAAACACCACCATAACAAAGGTCTTAACATTAAATTTTGAAGTAGAAATGCACTGACTCAAAAATGATTCATCTACTATAAAAACAAAACGCTGCATCACAGGAGTACAGTGTGATAGGATCAAGTCAGATGTCACAGAAAGTGACAGTCACATCCATGACAGGTTTCAGCGCCAGACTCTCATTCCCAGGTCAACCGTCCAACTCCCACCTCAGGCAGATTCATGGCAAGTGTAGTTGCTACATGACCTTTGAGCAGAAACATGAATGTCTCTTAGAGGAAGACGCTGCATTAGGAATCGTGAGGGTGGGAGCTCGCATTCAGCTGTTCCCTCTCCCCCCCACAAGCACGGGCCTCCATGGAGACACACACAGGCTGTGGGAACCGAGTGCCCAGGACCATGGTCCAGTGACCGGTGCTCCCAGGAAAAAATAACTTGCATCTTGTCATTGTTAGTAACTGTTGGTGACCTCTGAGTTCTGACTTCTTCTGAGTCAGAATTGTGTGACTTCTTGCAAACAACATCACATTGTTTTTAACATGACCTGGAATTCAGGTTATGAGTTTCACATGGGGAAGGGTTTTGTAAAAGTCTGCATTAATATACAGAACTAGACTCTAAGGAAGAATATGAGAAGATGAATTTCTGACAAGAAAAGCAAGAGAAAAGTCTATTTGTAAATGAGGACATGTAAGACAGTAGAGGGGAAAACTGAATAAATGAGGTTTATAATGGAGATTGTGATATCTCACTTGATGGACAATTGGCCCTTCATCAGTCTCCCCACAGCCGACTTCATGGCTTGGTTCCTCAGACTGTATATGACGGGATTAAATATGGGGGGCACCACCGTGTAGAACATAGAAATGACCAGATCAGACATGGACGGAGTCCCTGAGGTCGGCTTCAGATAAGCAAAGCATGCAGTGAAGAAAAACAGCACCACAACCAGCAGGTGGGGAAGGCAGGTGGAGTAGACTTTGGCCTTCCCTTCTGTGGATGGGATCTTCCTGACAGCAGAGAAGATGTGCACATAGGAAATGATGATGAAAATAAAATAGAAAGTACTCGACACCACACTAATGAGAATGGGGACAAGTTCATTCACCAGATTTTCTGAACAGGAAATAGCCAATAACTGGGGGATGTCACAGAAGAACTGGTGGACCACGTTGGACCCACAGTAGGACAAGGAGAAGGTTCCAGCTGTGAGCATCACAGCATAGAGACCCCCACCCAGCCAGGACACAGCTGTCAGCTGCACACACCTGTCCCTGCTCATGATGACCTCATAGTGCAAGGGGTGGCAGATGGCAGCATAGCGGTCAAGGCTCATCACCGTGAGCAGGTACATCTCTGTACCTGCTGACATAACCATCATGAAGACCTGGACGACACAGCCTGGGAAGGAGATGGAGCTGCTGTGCCTCAGAGAGTTGGCGATGGACTTGGGGACTATGGCTGTGAGAAGGCAGAGGTCCGAGAAGGACAGACTCCTCAGGAAGAAGTACATGGGGGTGTGGAGGTGCCGGTCCAGGGTGGTGATGAGGACGATGAGCCCGTTCCCCAGCAGGGCGCACAGGTAGACCAGGGAGAAGAGCAGCGGGTGCAGGAAGCCCATAATCCCATGGGTGGGGAACCCCAGGAGGATGAATTCTGTCACGGCCGTGAGATTCGTCACCCCTGGAGCCATCATCTGTGAAAACGAACACAGGAAGAAAATTAAATCTTCCAATATTGAACATAAAGTGGCTTATAAGGATAATAATTCAGTCTATTTACCAGGTAATTACTCCTCCTAGGTGTCTGTAGAATAATACCCTCATCTGCATGTCCTGCTCTATTCAACCTTTTATTTCCACGTCATGTGTCACTAAGTTGTGCAACTTCTCTGAAATTTGGTAAAGAGCAGAAAATTTCAACTCTCCCCTACAAACTTGAACAAATTAGAATCTCATGCCTCTCAAAGAACCTGACTGACAGCCCCTCCCTTTTATTCCCCAGCCCCGGGGCTACCGCCTCCTGCCCAGGCCCCAGCATCTCTGGCCAGCACACCTCCCAGAGGTTGTCCAGGGCACAGCCCCAGAGGACACATGACCATCCCAGCCCCTCCCCACCCTGGAGAGCCTGTCCCTGCTCCTCCAGCACAGCCCTGGTCTGGGGAGGCCCCACAGGGACGGGTGTGCAGGGAGATGGGGTGTCATTTCCCATTAAAGGACCTTCCTCCCACCTCTAGTTATTATAAACTGTCTCTTGCAGAGTCTCCTCCTGGGTCACCCCCACACGTCCCTCCTGCAGGATGGGCTCGTCCACCCCGGGTCCCTCCCGGCCCCTCTGTCCCCCTCAGACTCAGGCACGTCTGTGCAGGGAGGAGGCCGCTCCGGTGCTGAGCCGGACGGTCTGTGCGTGTGGCTGTCCCTGCCGGCCCCAGGGCCCCGGGTCCCCCGGGGGCGGGTTTGTTCCTCCCCCCAGGCCCGTGCGTGAGTGGGGACGCCTGGACACA